GCAGCCTCCGCCTCCCAGACAAACAGAAGAAGAAGACGCCGCATGGCTACATAGCAATTTCCCACGCGAGTTGTCTCCAATCCAAGTTTTGTCTGCCAAATAAATAAACAAAAACATAAACAGCGAATTTGGGAGGCGCTTCACAGCCCAACTTAATTAGCATACCAAGTCCGACACGTAGTTGTATATTCACGCTTATGTGCTTAAAGGAAACTCCCGTTTATTGCAACCCGGACTTAATTTCTAGCATGCAGTACGTTTGTTTACTCACGCTGACAACTTTGGTGCTACTTGGATCCCCCGGGGTATTTAGATCCATCGGCGAATCGCCGTCAGCGTATATCCATATAACGGGTGCGGACGGGCACCCGTGGTGCCGCCTCGAAATAAAACATTATCTGCACCAAAACATCTTCATGTCGAAAGGTTTTGTTAGGAATCATTAACGTGATTCCCCTGTTCGTTTGGAGCGGGTCTGGGATTTCTAGGCGTGAACAGACTAGCCGCGGCTAATCTAACCGGCGCTTTTAATGACGTCACTGCCGTGCGCCAATCTGTTTTTATTAAGATTACCGGTAGATGTACCTTTGTCCTACTGTGGAGAAATTCGTTTTCTCCCTTTATTGACCAACAGAGTTGTTCAAAAGTACAGAACAAAACATATGGCATTACATCTTATGACAAAAATGCACCTTAAACAGAGTTTAAGCAGCAAAACATCACTCTGCAAATAGTGTATATATAGTGAGACAATTCATGATTTAAAGTGTTAACTTTCACCAGTTTTTGTATGCACGTTTTAAAAAATGCTGATACTTGAAAGGTTTAAGCACTTAATACACTTAATTCTTAACATTTAATTTTTGTAATATAAATTGAGGAATGTTATTTTTTGAATAAACTTGTTCGATAAATGGGTGTTTTTAAATAGTATCGAAATCGAGTATTTTTTCAAGTATCAAATCGAGTTTGAAATTTTAGTATCGTGACAACCCTACTGCACACTATATAAAAAATTTGACATAACAAATAAAGACGAATAAAAATAGCACAAGAACAATAAATAGATACAACCAAGTAAGAGCATTACAAGCCATGCAACATAAAGTGTACATGAACACCGTCAGGTAGTGAAAGCAAAAAGCAGTCTGTGAGGAAAAAGTGCTGTATAGAACAGTAGTACTTATGTTGTCAGAAAACATATGCTTTTGTGGGAAAATATGTGTTTTTTTAATATGCAAATGATTTTATTTTGAACGTTTCCTGTGGTCTTTGTAAATTTAAACCATCCTTGTTCCATCTGACTATTTGTTGTGATCTAAAGGGTGAAGCTTTTATTTTGTTTTATGTTTTCAGTTATTGAGTTTTGGCTGGCTAACAAACTTCTAGTAATTTCTGTATTTCAACAATATAGAACATCCTTTAGGTGCTGTACTCATGACCACAGCCTAGAGCAGTGATGAAACTATAAAGCCTGGGGCACACCGGAGCACCCGGGAGTTTGAGAGTCAAGCGGTCACACAGGACACACCGCTGAGCGCTTCTTGGAAAGTCGCGCAATAGTCACATCATCACGCGGGACTTGAGAACAGAAAGCAGGAAGTGACTATTGTTTATACATGATCAGACTTGCTGTCGTGTTTTGTGAGAATGTAATTAATTGAAAATGCGTAAGTACGCTATTTATCAGAATATTTTAAGATCAATAGTACTTTAAAGTTATCAAAACTGCGGCGGAGTTTGTGCCGTGAAGCCGCTCTGCTTCATAAAGTGTGTTGTAAAGTACTCCACAACGTCGTAAACATAGACGAAATAGAACTGGCACTTATCTGCAGCGCGGCACTTCTGGGTCTGGAGTTTTTGACAAGTCATTAAAAATTGCACCCACATTTTCAAAGTTCTTTTAACAACAGCAGTTTTTGCATCTTTGCTGTTCCCCTGCTTTTAAATGAGTGTGTAATCGTGCTGTAGACAAGTGTACTCAATAATTTGGCACTTTACAGTATCTTAGTTAAAAATTTATTATTCTGCCTAAAACTGTCAGTGTTGCATCATCGTCAGGTAAAAACTCTGCACTACATTTGGATCTCAATATGCCACCGCTATAGGTCTTGTGATCACATGTGATTACGCACAGCATTCTGGAATGTGCGCTGCCATGTTGGAAGGTTGACGAGTGGAGTGTAAACAAACGGCACTGTCACAGAGAAGAAGCGGATTTGGGTGGAAGAAAGTGTTAAACCACATTATAAAATCCCAAAAAGGGATTGCGTATTATACAGGGATACATTATGTATAGACGTTGGGGACCAGCACGTGGACAAAACCAAAATGGTTTTGATCCACTTGAAAGACCCCAGGCAGGAGCACCAATCACGTATTGTTACCGCCAAAGTTCCGCCTAACGGACATTTTCGGCTATCTTGTTTGTGGTGTGAGCGGATGTAAACGTCTGGGTGAGAGGTAAACGATTTATTAGCTGCTACATTATGATGTCACAATGCTGTTGTGAGACTGCTGTGTGTATTTGTTAGCAGCTCCGCCCTCTCGGTCTGCCAGGTGGGAGTGAAGTGTTTCTTGTAGGAGGTGACTTGCTCTTTAAATGTACATATGAGGCCCCAGCAGAGTGCCACACATGACATGTACCAGTCATTAAAATGACACCAACGCTTAAGATTCGCCCTGTTTTTGCCTCTTCAAACGGTAACAATCTCAAATAAGTCATTAGCTTCGTGGCAAGCAACCTCGGTTCATACGAAGGAGCTCGATTAACATCTGGTAGTGGCAGTTTAGCAGGTTAGCTAGCTAGTAATGCCGAAAAGTAACACACTTGTAAATCCCGTTCCTGGTCAAACGGCTGCTGTTATCCCACCCTTTATTCATAGCGACAGTTTAAAATGTATACTCGTCTGGTATTTTCGGGGGTAACTAGGCTGTCTAGCCTAGAGTACCGGTACCGGTTCGGCAATAACATTGGATCGGCTAGGTGGCCAGCAGTGACCTCTTTGCTTAACTGATGCTTAAGACGGCCAACACTTACACTCTTACGCTGTCACGTTGAGTCACGTGTCTTAGACATAAAATGAACGTTTGCTTGGACATCGTGAAGTCTTCAGGAGCAACAAAATAGCATAAACTGAAAGCAGCAATGGAACAGAAACATTTACCTTAGCCAGCCTTCTGCTCGCCGCCATCTTGAACGAGTTCCCAGAATCCTAGGTCTAGCTGCAGCCACTACAAACCACGCCCCCTACAAACCACGCCCCTGTGGCTCCTACAAAGACTTTTTTTTAATTGCTGAAAAGCATATTTACATTACAAATAAGGCGAACATGCCAATGTCTTCAGATGAGAATCGAACAGTCAGTGAAAAGGGGGAGGACACAAAACAAACAAACAAACAAAAACACAAAAACAAACAATGCAAGGGACTACTAAACAGTTCCAGGAAGTCTACACAAAAGTCTATACATATCTTCATAGCTGTTATTATTGATACATTTAAGGGATCTTAGATACAATCTAAAATCATGTACAAATGCATTAAACACAGGGGGTGATTTCAGTATTTTTTGTTTATGTATGAAGAATTTTGCCAGACAGAGAAGTAGATTGTAGCAGAGTTCTTGGTTGTTTGTTTGAAGGAGAGGTCCAAAGGTGACGACATCTCTTGAAATGGGACATGGGATTCCAATCTGAGGTTGAATCCAGTTTTCAAAACGGTTCCAAAACGTCCGTGTCTTGTTGCATTCAAAGGAAATATGATCAGTTGTTTCAACATCCTTCCCACAAAAGGAACATGAATTATCATCAATGTTAAAACGTTTTCTGAGCAGATCCTTTGAGGGATAGACATTGTTTAAAATTTTAAAATGTGTTTCTTTGACTTTAGGTTGAACAGGAAGTTTTAAATAAAAAGTCCTTAGTTTAATAATGGAGCTTTTACCAAATTTGTAAATTATGTTGTTCTTGTTGACTTTACAAGGGTATAGTTGATCAGTAAAACACCGTCTAATAAATTGGTTGGTACACTTTTTATCCATAAGGGGAATGATGGATGGAGATAGAACCATACTGTGGATTTATAGGTTGGTGTTGAATAATGTTTCTGTACTGGAAGACCACCTCTTTAGGAAGCGCTATTAATAATTTTATAAAATCAGATTTAGGAGGGCTAAAGTTGTATTTAAGACAAAATTCATCGTACCCTAGTTCACCATTATCTTTCATCAAGTGTACAGACCAAATTTTCCTATTCATCCAATCTTCATAAAATAGTGACCTATTACGGCATAATACATACCTATTGTTCAAAATTATAGAAGAGTGAGGCGAATAATTATGTACATACAACAACTTCCATTACATTAGTACTTGTCTGTGGAACTCATAATTTTGTGGGCAGTTTGTTTATATCAAAATCTGACAACAGTAACATTTTTAGACCACCCATTTTGTTAAATAGATGACTGGGATAGAATACCAAAAAGCGTTCAGATTCTTGAGCCAAGATTTTAGACAATTAATTTTGAGTGTTCCTTTAAGGCAATTGAAATCTATTACTTTTAAGCCTCCATCTTTAATTTCTTTGACCATTTGATCTTTCTTTATATAGTGTGGCTTATTTCTCCAAATGAAGTTAAAATTGATGGTGTTAATCTTTTTAATTAGGTCATTTGAAATTGCAGTACTGCAGGTTGGATAAACTAATCTAGATATACTCTCCATTTTGGTTAAATAAATGCGCCCTAATATGGAGAGATCCCTCTGAAGCCAAATATTTAGTTTGGCTTTAATTTCATTAAGTTTATTTGTTGTTTGCGTCATGTCCCTGGGAAGTTGTTTAACCCACGACATGAAGAATCATCACAAAACAACGGCAGAAAGTTCAAACAATGATTTATTAAACCTAACTAAAAGTGTCCTGGAGATATACAAGTTGAATGAAGCCAGAAAGAGTCCAGAAGTCAGTAGGGAGGGCAGATGGTGTGATGGGGTGCGTCCAGGAGAGGGAGCCAGACGATGGCGGCAGAGGATAGGAGGAACAGGAGGAGAGACGAACCGTGAGAGTTGTTGTCCAGGCGGGTTATGGTGAGTTCCAGGTAGATATATTCCATCAATGGTTCAGCGTTTCCAAGTGTCCGTGAGTAGCTAATCATCCAGCGATGTGAAGTAGTTCCCTCTCCTCTTAAATAGAGCTCTGCTGCGGTTGATCTGAGGAGCTGCAGCTGCCGCTGATTGGTAATGCCCCGCAGCTGGTGAGTGCCCTCTCCTGGAATGAAGATCTCACAAAGATGTTGTAGAGAAGGAGGAGTACTCACCCCGACACACAATGCTCCCCCCCTCAACGGACGCCACCTGGCGACCTAGCAACTGTCTCCTCGTAATCCCGAATGAGGGAATGATCCATGATGAAGGAGCGCGGGACCCATGAGCGCTGCTCCGGGCCGTACCCCTCCCAGTCGACCAGGTACTGGACCCCACGACCACGGGGTCGGGAGTCGAGGATCCTCCGGACTGAGTAGATCAGTCCCCCCTTGTAGAGCCGGGCCGGCGGCGGAGGAGCAGGAGCAGGACAAAGAGGACTGGAACCAACGGGTTTAACCAAGGAGATGTGAAATACAGTGTGTACCTTCATGTTCCTGGGGAGGTCCAGCCAAACCGTGGTGGGAGTAGGCGTGTCCAGGACCCTGAAGGGGCCGATGAACCTCTGAGTGAGCTTCCTAGAGGAGGCCTTTAGCGGGATGTCCCGAGAAGACAGCCAAACATCCTGACCAGGAGAGTACAGCGGGGCGGGGCGCCGGTGTCGGTCTGCCAGCTGCTTATTTCTGGCGGCAGTGCACTCCAAAGCCGCCCGGGTAGAGGCCCATGCCCGTCTGCCCCCCTGAGAAACTGCGGGATGGAGACTGAAACCGAGGCTTGCTGTGGAAACAGTGAGGGTTGGTAACCCAGAGACGCCTCAAATGGTGACTGACCGGTGGAGGTGGATACATGGCAGTTGTGAGCATACTCGATCCATGCTAGATGCGTGCTCCAGGTGTTGGGCTGGGAGGAGCAGACACAACTCAGCATGGCGCCCAGCTCTTGGTTTAACCGCTCACACTGCCCATTAGTCTGAGGATGGTGGCCGGAGGTGAGGGCGACCTTGGCGCCCAGAGCTTCCGCGAACTCCTTCCAGACCCGAGCCACGAATTGGGGACCCCGGTCTGACAGAATCTCTGTGGGAATACCATGCAGTCTAAAAACATGATTCACTGGGAGCTTGGCAGTAACAGTCGAAGAGGAAGGCCTTTAAGAGGCACCAAATGACATGCCTTAGAAAACCTGTCGACCACCGTCATGATACATGTGAATCCCTGAGATTCTGGAAATCCTACAACAAAATCAAGCGCTATATGCGACCAGGGACGTGACGGACTAGGAAGGGGACAGAGGAGCCCAGCTGGGGCTCGGTGGACTCCCTTTTGCTGAGCGCACACATGACAAGCCAAAATATAGTCTTTAATGTCCATATACATGGAGGGCCACCAGAACGTCCGTCTGATCAGAGCAATGGTGCGTCCTACGCCTGGATGAATGGAAAATCTCCCCGTGTGTGCCCAATGTATAACCTGCCCCCTAAGCGCCTGAGGAACGAATAGCCTCCCTGGGGATCCCCCTGGTCCAGGCTCGGTTTTAAGCGCCTCTAACACTTTGTCCCGAATCTCCCAGGTGATTCCACCTACCACACACGATGAAGGAAGGATGGGTTCGGGCTCGGGCTCTTGGTCTGGTGCATACAGTCTGCATAAGGCGTCGGGTTTAGTGTCTAGATCCAGGGCGATAAGAAATCTGAAAGTTAAAGCGAGAGAAAAACAACGACCACCTATATTGGCGGGGGTTAAGACGTTTAGCTTCTTTCAGATAAATCAAGTTCTTGTGATCCGTCCATATAAGTGTAGCATTGTGGTTTTATGCTCTTTTATGAAAGAGGAACCATGCTACTTATTAATTCGGAATATTAATTTTTAATAAATCAATAACCAAGTTTTGTATTGTTCAGAAGACTCAAAGGTTGTTTTCATCGATAAACTGCCGATAATATCTGTGTGTCTGTGTTTCAGTTCAATGAGGAAACCAGTTTGACGATTAAAAGTTTTAATTCTTCAAATTAAACTAATGATTTTGAAAACTGACAAACAGGAAATACAATCAACATTGGTAACTTTGTGGGACAATCCTTAACAGTTGATATGCTGTTCTTGCTCAAATAGACCTTCTGGTGAATTTATGAAGATTGAGAATGTTGTGAGTTGTGAGAGTGATATGAGGTGAGATGGATGCGTGTGTGCATCTGATTTTGCTTCAGGAAGAAACAGGTGTCTGAGTGAAAAATGATGGTTTGAATAAACTTAGGTTTAGTTGGAAAAGATGCATCAAAATGCTAAACACCGTGCTCTGTCTCACCGAACTCTTGTGGACCCTCTTTCGGATCCGGGCCGTGGAGGATGTTGTGGTTCATCCAGATGACACTCAACGGCTGACAGGGAAGACGTAGGTGTCGAACGGAACCGGTCCAGAGTTGCCCTCGGTACACGTTGATGGTAAAGCGTTTTGTCGACGCGCTTTCTTAAGTTAATTCACTCAGAAATCAAAAGACTCGGTAATGAGTATGCGTTAGAAGTTGCGATTCAGCTATTCTGCCTGGCTTGGCAGGAACAGCGTGAAAGGGGGGAAGAACGAGCCAGCCGGCTCTGCCCCCCCTTTGGTTTTCAGGTCTGTTCTCTTTCGTTGTCAAGCACGAACTGCCATCATAAGACTGAAACTTACCAAAAACCTTTCTCTTCTCAAAGCAAACGTGTGCGTCATCAAATGTGTCTGGAGTTTACTGTGGGAAGATGTGTGTGGGTGTGTGTGAATGTTTGTGTGCTCGAGTGTGTGTGAAGGTCAGTACCAAACATTCTCAACATTATTTAAGAATGGATTCATTAATCCATTATAATTACCCCAAAGCATAATAGTCATTCATTTGATTAAACACATTTATAATGAGCAAAATGATAATGGTTACTTTAACATTAAAATCAAGAAAAAGAAGTTTAAACTTTATGTTTTGACTTGGTCTGGGTACAACTCATGGAAACACATCTTCTGGTAGACTGCAGGTGGCTGATGTTATGGTTTCCTCCCAGACTCGCTGGCGTTCAGGTCTTAATCTGTGGGTGAAAGTTCTCAATGACCCAGCTTTGACCCAGCTGAGTCCAGCACCACCTTTGTGACAGAAAACCCATATTTCCTCACGTTACATAAGGAACGGCTGTTCCGCTTAGGGTTGCCAACCATCCCTTGAAAAACGGAATCGTCCCGTATTTAGAAACAAAAGTGCACATCCCGTATTGAACTCAAAAGGGACGCACTTTGTCCCGTAATATAGTATGGATCAAAATTAGTCTGTAGTCTATTACCGGAATTAACGCTTTGTTTGAAAGCCAGCCCTTCGCCTGCTCTGTGACCAATGAGCTGACCGCATGCTTACACACGAATATGACGATACAGATTACCGCTTATTTCATTGGTCGAGGAACGGTCGCTTGGGGAGAAAATACCGAAAGAAAACAGACGACAGCAAACAGCACGGCCAACAGGGAAACTAACGCCGACACTGCTGTACAAGTCTCGGACGACAGTACCCCTCCGAGAAAGAAGAAAAAAAGGCTTCAAAAATACAGGGAGGAATGGGAAAAGGAAAATTCCTGGCTGGAAAAACTGCGCGATAACACCTGTAAAGCGCACTGCACCGTGTACCGGCGCAGTTTTTCCATAGGGCATGGTGGACTGACTGACCTCAAGCAACATGCTTCTAGTAGTAGCCACATGAAAAACATAAACGACGTGAAAGCACGGGTTACCCTCGATCCGTTTGTCGTCCACAAGGCCACGGCAGAAGCAGATATGGTAAGTAAACATTGCTTTTTTAAACCCTCTGGTTAAAGTGAAGGTATTTATATGAAGAACAAAAAAACACTGTGTTGGGGCTTGTTTACTATTATTTTTATTATTTTTGTTGTCTGTTTCTGTTTTGTCATTAGTTTTTCTATTTTTTTTTAACTTGGGTGTTTAGTTTCGATGTAGCCTTGTCTTGGTTTATATGTTGTTTGGATAATTTTAAACTAAAAGGATGGATAAATACATAATAAATAAAGTGAACTATTGTATTGTATAAACGCTATACAATGCAATAAATATACAATAAATGTTTTCCATTTATTTACCACTGTAAGTTTTCTATGTGGTGCTTATAACCCAGGTTTACTTCTTATCTCCATTGGCAGGTTAAACATCTCTATGGATGAGCTTTATGACGAGTGTGTCACTGCAACCAGCCTTCTGGAGCCCCTCACCAAAGGACCTCAGGAGAAGGAAAAGTGGCAGTCCAAGGGAACAGCAGAGAAGTGTATAGAAATTCTTCAGGCAGCTGACCTCTCCAACATCCAGCCTGTTGTATCGTTTGTACTCAGCATCCCATCTTCCACTGGATTGGCAGAGAGGATTTTCTCTCTCATGAAGAATAAGTGGACTGATGTGCGGAACAAATGTTCTACTGAAATAATTAGATGTGAGCTCATTGTCACTCTAAATTGTGACATGTCTTGCTCAGAGTTTTACTCTGCAGTACTGAAAGACAACTCCTAAATGCAGCAAGATCTCAAAAGAAATACAAATGGAGAAACTAGTCTGTTTTCACATAATGTAGCATTGAGCTTTTGAGTTCATGAGTTTGGACTTTTTTTTTTTACTTCAACCGTAGGCTACAGTCAAGGCCTTTGAGGCACAAATATGTTTACAGCTTCTCCACAGACTTTCTGTTTGCACTTTTCTAATTGCACTCAATGTGCAGTTACAGCGTTGCTCTTTCTGTTGTTTTCTATTAATTTATACAATTTTAAGTTAAGCAGAACAGAGTTGTTTTAAAGAGAGTTATTTATATTCTAAAAAGTAAAGCATAACAGGCTACCGTTTAAGAAAGAGACCTGCTTTTTTTTGTCATTTTGCACAAAAAGTTGAGCATAACAGTTTTCTGTTTAAGAAAACTACCTTTGTTACTTATAATAATTTTATAATTTCACGCCATAAATAAATGGCTAAATGATCATTTGTTTCCCATGTTTTCATATCACAAAGAATATGCATCTTCTTAAACCAACTTCAAGTCAAATAGTAAAAAAAAAAATCCTTTCACACACACAAAAAAAGAGCAAAAAAATCACCACGCTGGGAAGGGTGGCCTGGAGCGGCCGGCCCTGCCCGCGAGGTGTCCCTTATTTATTTTTCAGGGAGTTGGCAACCCTAGTTCCGCTCCTTCCAACCAGTGCCTCCATTCCTCGATGGCGAGTTTCACTGCGAGCAGCTCCCGGTCTCCCACGTCAAAACGGCTTTCTGTCGGGGACAGCCGCCTGGAGAAAAAGGCACATGGGTGCAGCTTATTGTCCACGGTTGCTACCTGTGATAGGACCGCCCCCACCCCGGTCTCTGATGCATCCACCTCCAGCACGAACTGTCTCTGGGGATCCGGTCTGTGTAGGACTGGAGCGTCGGTGAAGCGCCTCTTAAGTTCCTGGAAAGCAGCCTCGGCTTCTGGGGACCAGACAAATGGGCGTTTCACAGAAGTCAAGTTAGTCAGAGGTGAGGCTACCTGGCTGTATCCCTTAATGAAGCGCCGGTAAAAGTTTGCAAAGCCCAGGAAGCGCTGCAGCTGTTTCCGGGACGAGGGGGTGGGCCACTCCGTGACCCCGCGGACCTTCTCCGGATCCACTCTGAGTCTCCCGTGTTCCACAATGAACCAGAGGAACTTGACCTGAGGAACATTAAACAAACACTTCTCTGCTTTGACATATAAGCGATTCTCCAACAACCGCTGGAGAACCACTCTAACATGTTCCACATGCTGTGCAGAGTCCTCTGAAAAAATCAAAATGTCATCTAAATAAACTGTTACAAACTTATTCAGGAAATCGCCCAACACAGAGTTCACAAGCGCCTGGAACACAGCAGGGGCGTTAGTCAACCCAAAAGGCATAACCAAATACTCATAATGTCCAATAGGAGTCTTAAAAGCCGTCTTCCACTCATCCCCTTGCCTGATGCGCACCAGGTGGTACGCGTTCCTAAGATCCAGATGGCTAAACACCCGTGCGTTCTGCACAGGTTCGAAGGTCGAGCTGAGTAGAGGCAACGGGTATTTATTCTTTACAGTGATCTGGTTTAGTCCTCTATAGTCTATGCAAGGTCTGAGGGTACCTTCCTTCTTTGGGACGAAGAAAAACCCCGCGCCCAGGGGAGAGGAAGAGGGTCGAATGAGTCCAGCGGCCAGGGATTCCTGAATGTAGGTCTCCATGCTCTCCTGCTCAGGTCTGGAGAGGTGGTACAGACGGCTGCTGGGAAGAGGAGCCCCAGGCAGCAGCTCTATGCTACAGTCAAAAGGCCTGTGTGGAGGAAGAGAAGCAGCTCTGTCCTTACTAAATACCTGTGAGAGGTCGTGATACTCCTGGGGTACATTAGACAGGTCAGTCTTCTCGGCTGATGGCGATCTGGAAGCGCTGATGTTAGGAGGGGCTGCTCCGAGGCAGGACTGGGAGCATCTCGGGCTCCACCCCTCCACTCTTCCCGTCTCCCAGTTCACCTGGGGATTGTGGCGGATGAGCCAAGGGTGACCGAGCACTACTGCAGTCTGTAGGGAGGGAAAAACAAAAAACTCTATTTCCTCCACATGATTTCCCGACACCCTGAGTTTTACCGGGACAGTCCGATGCGTGATGGTGGTTAAGCTGCGTCCATCCAGAGCCGCCACCGCGAGTGGAGTGGAGAGCCGGGTCGTGGGAATTCCCCACTGACGTACTCGTTCTGTGTCAATCAAAGATTGTTCACAACCTGAATCCAATAAAGCATCAACCGGAAACTGTTTAGCATTAGCGTACAACATACAAGGTAACACACTACGGGACCCCTTAGAGTTCTGACTGCCCACCAGTAGTCCCGACATTACCGGTGGGCACGCCCTTTTACCAGAACCGGGCAGGCTTTGGCAAAATGCCCAGACCCCCCACAGTACATGCAAAGACCTGACCTCATGCGATGTTCACGTTCCTCCTTGCTGAGTTTGGTCTTTCCTAATTGCATGGGTTCCTCCGGGGGGAGACTCTCCGAGGAATGACTTACTGACCCAGTTGCCGGTGTGGGTGTGGGCACGTGAAGCTCCCGGTGCCTCTTGTCGAGGGAGATGGCCAGCTTGATCAGCCCCTCCAGGGACTGAGGTTCCGGGCACATGGCGAGCTGGTTCCTGATGCGGCTGTTTAGAGCCTCCGTAAAGGCGGCGATGAGGGCCTCCTCGTTCCAGGCGGATCGAGCCGCCAGGGTACGAAAATCCAGGGTCATCTCTGCCACCGTCCTCTGCCCCTGTGACAGCGTCCACAGCCTCCTGCTTATGTCCATGGGGGATATGTCAGAGCCAAAAGTCAATTAAATTCGGCCAGGAAAACGTCCAAGGGGCCTGCCAAAAAGGCAGGGTTGTGGCTCTTAGCTTCTGCCCACCTTAATGCTTTTCCTCGTAGCAGTCCAACAATATAAGAAATGCGACTTACATCAGCGTGGAAGGCTCCAGGAGACCGTGCAAACGCCAACTGACACTGGAGGAGAAAACTGTGGCACTCCTCGAACTCTCCACTGTACGTCTGAGCAGGAGGCACAGGGGCGGTGTGGTAATAGGCGGGTTCCGCGGCCGCGGCCCCTTCAGTATTGAGCTCAGGAACGGCGAGGTTTCCTTGGGAGGTGGTGGCTCTCTCCTGAGGGGGTTCCTGAGCCTGGAGCTGGGTCAAGCCCTGTTGAAGTTGACGGATCATGGCCTCCAGCTGTTGAGATCGTTGGTTAACAATCTGGAGGTGTTCCAATAAGACCGGCAGGGCCTGTTCCTGCTGAGTTAACCTAGAACTGAAATCGGCGAGTGATGATTCCGTGGGGTTAGCGTCTTGGCTGGATGATTCTGTCATGTTCCTGGGAAGGTGTTTAACCCACGACATGAAGAACCATCACAGGACAAAGGCAGAAAGTTCAAACAATGATTTATTAACCCTAACTAAAAGTGTCCTGGAGATATCCAAGTGCGAAGTAGTCGGCAAGAGTCCAAAAGCCAGCAGGGAGGGCAGACGGTGTGACGGGGTGCGTCCAGGAGAGGGAGCCAGATGATGGCGGCAGAGGGCAAGTGGAGAAAGAGGAGAGGTGAACCTTGAGTGTGTAATCCAGGCGGGTTATGGTGACTTCCAGGTAGGTACATCCATCTGTGGTTCAGCGATTCCAAGTATCCTGAAGATGAAACAAACTTGAGTCCAAGCACCAAAATCCAAGCACAAAAAACCAGAAAAATCCAAAAACTGCGACAACACGAATGTCTGAGTATAGACAAAGCAAAACCTAGAACTGAGTGGCAAGATTCTACCGTGAGTAGTTAATCATCCAGCGATGTGAAGTGGTTCCCTCTCCTCTTAAATAGAGCTCTGCTGCGGTTGATTAGAGGATCTGCAGCTGCCGCTGATCGGTAATGCCCCGTAGCTGGTGAGTGCCCTCTCCTGGAATGACAGTCTTACAAAGATGTTGTGGAGAAGAGGGAGTACTCACCCCGTCACACAACAGTTGTGTGTCCCATTTTTTTGCTGTTCTTTCTCTTTCTGCAGGTCGAGAAGCAGACTCTTGTTCATTATTGTTTATTTTTGTGGACCCCCCTCCCTACCTCCCCACCTTTTGTCTTTTCCTTTCTCTTTCACCTCTGACTCTGTGTCTGGTCGGAATTACAAAACATTCAAAAATAATAATAAAGTTTTAAGTATCAGGCGTGACATTAAAAGCAGACGCTTTGATGCTCCACCTGAGAGTAAATCTGGAAGGCTTGTTACCAGCATTCAGACATCAATTCTGCTTGCTTCACAGCCAGACAGGACACGGTAAAAAAAAAGAAGAAAAAAAAAGAAACGTCCAACCAGCTCATGGAAAGCACGTACAGCCTCTGGAGTAAGGCGAAAAGGGCAAGGCTGATTGGTGGTTTTGGTGAGTGAGGTCAGTGGCGCTGCGAGGGAACTGAAGTTGCGTATAAACCTCCGGTAAAAGTTCGAGAAACCTAGGAAGCTTTGCAGCTGCTTCAGGGTCGTGGGTAGAGGCCACTGAGCTACTGCCTGAACCTTCTGGGGATCCATCTTCAGGCCATGGGAGGAGATGGTAAAACCCAGGAAGGAGGTGGACTCCCGGTGAAACGCACACTTCTCCAGTTTGCAGTAAAGTCCATGATCCAGGAGACGGGACAGAACAGCTCAAACATGCCGGATGTGCCTTTCGGCCGTGCGGGAGTAGACGAGGATGTCATCTAGATAAACAAAGACCCAGCGGCCCAACATGTCTCTCAGCACATCTGTAATGAACCGCTGGAAGACGGCGGGGCTGTTGCAGAGGCCAAAAGGCATCACCAGATATTCATAGTGGCCAGTGGGCGTGATAAAAGCGGTCTTCCACTCCTCACCTTCCTTAATACGGATGAGGTTAAAGGCGCTGCGCAGATCCAGTTTAGTAAACACAGCGGCTTGTGTGATGGCGTCCAGGGCGGTGCCCTTGAGAGGGAGAGGGTGACGGTCCCTGATCGTTATTTTATTTAACCCTCGATAGTCAATACAGGGCCGGAGATCACCCTCCTTCTTCTTTACAAAGAAAAACCCCGCGGCCCCGGGGGATGTTGAGGGATGGATGAATTTCTTCTGGAGGGCATCAGTTAAATAATTGTCCATAGCCCAGGTCTCTGCCGGAGAGAGGGAGAACAGGCGACCCCGAGGGGGGGGTGCCAGGCTGGAGCCTGATCTCCAGGTCGTAGGGTCGGTGAGGAGGTAACCTGGTAGTGGGTTCTTTAGCGAAGACCTGAGCGAGGTCGTGGTATTGAGGAGGGACGAGCGTCAGGTCTACGTCTGTGGGAGGGGCTGCTCCAGTCCGAGGTGCAGGGGAGTCCCGGTGGTTATGGCA